AAGGCAAAACACAAGTGCTGTCTCCTCCTTCCCTCATTTCCCCAGGCAGAAATGATCTCCACCTCCTTTAACAACACTAGCATTTATCTTCCTGGCTCATTTATCAAGTCATTCAACAAATATTGATTGAAGATTTATTATGTGCCCGGCATTGTGCTGGGGCAGACAATGTCCCTGGTTCTGCAAATGTATTGTAGATGGAGGAGATGAACAATAAGCAAGTGAACAAGATATTAGTAGGTGATGATGAGTAATGTGAGAGTGAGCGACTTCATAGCTAGTTTAGATAAGCGTGGAAAGGAAATGCCACTCTGGGGAGATGGCAATTTGAGTTAAGACATGGATGATGTGGGGCCAGCCTCACAAAGATCCAGGTGAAGAGGATTTCAAGTTGAGGAAACAGCAGGTGCAAGGGCCCTGAGATGGGACTGGGCTCGGCATGTTTGAGGAACAGGATGGAAACTGGAGTAGCTGGAAAATAGTGATCAAAGGGAGGGGTACGGATTGTCATGTGGTCAAAGTCCCTTTTTTAGAGACTAGAGACAAGATGATTATGGGCATGTGGAAGATGACCCAGGTGCTTTGCCTTTTTTTCCATCTGGCACTTATGACCTTTGAACTTGTGTTATATTTGATGGTGTTTATGTGTTTTAGTGGAGACAAGATGATTATGGGCATGTGGAAGATGACCCAGGTGCTTTGCCTTTTTCTCCATCTGGCACTTATGACCTTTGAACTTGTGTTATATTTGATGGTGTTTATGTGTTTTAGTTTTCTTTCCTATCAATTCTCCAAGAGAAGGACTATCACTTGTGTCTTATTCTCCACGACATCTACCTGTGGATATGGGTGCTCATTACCTATGTTTGTCCATAAAAATGGAGCTCATCCAGCTTCTTGGGGGAGGGCAGGGCTCACCTGTAGGCCTCCGACCTGGTCTGGCTGCAGAGTCCCCTGCCAAAAAGAGGGCCAGGAGAGTGGGCAGAGCAGAAACCACAGCCACAGGCAAAGTCCCCCGTTGGCTCCTGAGCAACATTGTTAGCTCTATCTGGTTGAACCCCTAGTCTTGGCTTGCCTGGACTGTCTAGTTTGTGCCATGGGCCAAACTCTTCTGAGCCCAGCTTACTTCCCTAAACTTTCCTTGCCTAAATTCATGTAACTGTTCATCTCCTCTGATGGCTCACCCAATTTAGGATCCTTGTCCCTGTCCTATTCAGCCTCGTCTTGCTGTCTTCCACGTCCCAACATGCTACTGGGATGCTATAATTATATAAGACAGGGTTTCTCACCCTCAGCACTATTGACATCTTGGGCCTACAATTCTTTGCTATGGGGCTGCCATGTACATTGTAGAATGTTTAACAGCATTCCTGGTCTCTATCCACTAAATGCCAGTAGCATTCTCTTTCCCAGTTGTGACAACCCAAAATGTCTCTGGATATTGCCAAATGTATCCCGGGGTCAAAACTGCCCCTGCTTGAGAATCACTGATATAAATAAGGCTACAACCAAGACAGATCTTAGATACTGCTAGATTTATCCTCTTTCCCTCATTCCATAAATGAGGATACTGAGGCCCAGAGTAGTAAAATGAGTCACCCAAGGTCACAAAGCAAATAGGTAGTTGTGCAGGCAATAGACTTTATATCTTTCAAGTCTCAGTCTGGTGCTTGCCTTAGCATCATGAAACCTCAAGAGGTGGTCAGGTAAAGTGGAAATGTAGTAATTTTGGAGAGAGACAAACTTGGATTAGAATCTAGACCAAGTCATTGGTTGGCTGCATGACCTTTGGTTCTGAGCTTCCATTTCCTCTCACAAAGGTGATAAATCCCCACATCACAGGATTATTTTGAGGACTAAATAAGATTATTTGAAACCCTAGCATCCTACCTGGTATGTAGTTAGCACTGAGCAAATGCCTGGTTCCCATTCCTTGGTGTGCTACCAAGATGGCAAGCATAGTACCGAGGAGGAGGAGTTAAAGCTATCAACAATAGGACTCAGGGAGCCCATGGAAGATGAGGCTGATGGGCAGTGACTTCCAAGGGACTATGTTAAAAATGCAGGCAGTAGGATATGGTGTCTATAATGGAAACAACCAAGTAGTTTTCCATTTTGGAAAATCACTGGCTGTGCTGAAGGTTGACTCATTTGACAAAGTTGTTTTACCCCTTCCTGAGGAGGTACCTCTATGTTGATTATCTTATCTCTAAAGTCCTATGTCTCTTCTTTTCCCCACGAGAATGTCATGTTATTAAAAACATGCCTATAGGATAAAGGAATATTTAAAGCTCAAGTTTGAGACTGTGTCTTTTCCTCCTCTCATATTAGGTGAATATAATGACATTTTCTCTCTTAGGACCATGGAGACCTTAGAGGTTTGGTGTCCTGGGCTGTCTTGGCCAGCCAAGGCTCTTACTCATTGGGACTCCTGGATAGAAAATCATGAGATATTGTACAGAAGCCTAATATTGGTCAGTTTTCAATCTTCGTCCCTGCCTTCTACAGAAAACCCTGTTCCCTTGCCCCACAGATGTTGTCATAACACAGGATGGGCCCAGAGCAAAAGGAAGGAGAAGGCACACTGAAAAGGTGGACTGCCATCAGGTAACCTGGATTCTGGTGTTGGTCTGGCTACTGACAAATACCCCTAATACAGTAATTTGTAATTTTCAAAGAAGTTTTCATGAGCACTTTCTGTGATCCCCAGGATGATCTGATTGTAGTGATTTTAACCCAGGCTGCACATTATAATCTCTGGGAGTTCAAAACACAATAACCCAAAGCAATAATAATAAGAAATAAAAAAAAACTATGCCTGTGCTTAATCCTAGACCAACTAAATCTGAAGATGTATCTTGGACACTGGTAATTTTTAAAAAACTTTCCTAGGTGACTTTTAATGTGCAGTTTGGGTCAAGAGAATCACTGCCTATTTTGAGACCAGATGTCCCATTTGTTTGATAAGTAAAATGAGGATTAGAGTAGTTCATTTTCTTGTCCAAGCTTGAAACACAGCTGGGATGAGAAACCATGTGTTGTAAAACCTAGTCCACGGGTCTTTCTGCTGTTTCTTCTCTACTCATGGTGTGACCTTGGGAAAGTAGCTTAAGAACCCCACTTTTCTTAACTGTAAAGTGGGATAGGAATAGACTCCACAGAAATTCTTTCTGAGAGAGCACATTAGCATTTGGTAAGAAACAAACTTGCCATCTTGTCTCTCACTTTAGATAAGCTGAGTTTTGATGTTATTTTAGTGAAAGATGGCCATGCTCACTTCTGCAGGGTCTTGCTGACCCTGTCTTAGTGCCTATCAGGGTGTTACTGATCAGATAGCCTGAAGAATAGGGGTATAAAAGATTCGAGAAAAAGCATTGGCTGACCTTGACTTCTTTACTCCCAACTCCCCTCTATTTGGCATACAGAGGACATCAAGTTAATAATCTTTTGAATTCTAGGAATCTGGGATGGAAGAAAAATCAGAGCATATGTATTTCAACTTTCATGCCTGCAGCATCTCCTTGACAGGGGCTTGTTCTAACTCCAAGGGTAACCTAATTCTACTATAGCATTACTGTGATCATTAGTTGAACCTAAATCTATAACCCAGAACTGATCCTGGACTTGCCCATACAGAAAAAGATAGCTCCATTTTCCCCATGACAGCCCTGAGGACCCTTTTCCAACTGGAATCAACTATTCTTCATGGGACCTGGTTTTTAGTCCCCTCTGAACCTTGCTGCTTCCTAGCCTAGATCTATTCTAAAGGTGCTAAAAGTGGGACTCTCTTTATACCCTCTCCCCTTTTTGCAACCCTGTCTGGATTAATGATCTCTCCATGCCCCAAGAGGGATAGACTGATTTTCCCCAAGGAGTAGCAAGTGTATCTTTAACCATTCTGTTTTCAGTTACTTTGGCATAACAAGTAGGTAAAGAACCGCTCACCTGGTATTTTTTTGGTCATCACTCATCATGACCTGGTTAACAGTAAGATGAGTAGTTAGGGCTTGGATTCAGGCAAACCTAGCTCAAATCTCAGCTCAGTCACTTACAGGATTCTGAGCAAGTTATGTAACTTCTGTCTCAGATTCCTCAGCTGTAGGCTCTATTTTGAGGGCTATTGTCATGATATAGAAGGTATGAGGTGGGCTAACAGTAAGTGATCAAGACATGGTAGCCTGTGCTCCTACAGCCATTATGATCTATTTGACAGCAAGGCATCAGAGATCAGTTTTTTCTGCGTGTCAGCTGGTGTTAGGCACTTCCTCACCCAGGGGCACCCTAGATGCTGCCAGGTGAGCACAGGTGGGTGTGAACAATGACTGGAGCCTGCTAGTTTCCCCCGCTTCTCTCAAACTTTTTCTACCATAGTAGACACTGTCTGAAATGCTGCTGTTAGAGAGCTTTGTTCATTTATTTTAGACCTCTGACCCTTGTATATATGCAAAGTTCTCCAGGGAAAAAAGCACTTGAAGCTATTCTTAATCATCAATATCCAAGTGTCAACAAAAGTCAATTCCTTTACAGAAAGTCCATCTTGTTTGAGAGAAAAAGAAAAGCTCTTGGGTAAGAATGAGGATTGTAGGGTCTGAGGACAAAGATTATCTACTTATAAGCCTGGTCTAAATTTGGTCCTGGCTGTGACTTTGTGCACATCTTAGATATACTTGGACTCCAGTTTGTGGATGTCTGGGAGATACTCCCTGTGAGCCATCAAGTGTCCTAGAGGTACTGTGACAGCTGCAAGTCAAACCCTGCTCTCTGTGCAATTGGAACTGTGGCCCCCAAAAGCCAAATAGTACTCTTTTTTTCCTATTTGCATAAATAATTCACAATCTTCTGGTTTAACTAAAATGACTTGGGAGTTATTTGTGAGTCAGGCACAGTGGTCACAATTAAAAACCTACTACTGGTTTTAGGCTCAGCAACAGGGAAATAATCTCTCGAGCCCCGGCTCCAGAAATGGCACAAAAATGGAATGAACAAATATGAAAAGTAGGTAATGGATCCACAGTGATTTAATTCTCGGTGATATTTTCATTTTATGCAAATACCAAAAGGAGAAAAAAAAAAAAAAACCTGTCTATTGGAAAGAAAAACAGGAACCAGAAAAATATTTAGTGTTTGATCAAGCAAGAATCCTTTCACACATCTGCCAAGAGAGTTAAAACAAATATAGATGTTAAATAAAAGGCCCAGATACCAAAGAGCAAAATTTAATGAAAGCCAGAACTGTTAAGTATGGATTCCTGTTGAGAAAAATGTCAGTCTCTTCCAGAGTTTCCCCAATGCTCTATTTTTAAGAAAAGTGTAGTAAAAATACATAATACAAGTTAACTTTTTTCTTGCTTTTGTTTTCCCTTTACCCCTCTATTGACGAAAAGCATCTTCCTCTGGAGTCTTGGACCCCCGCATAGCACAGACCCTCATTTCTAGCACAGACAGTCTCTCCTTCTCAGATCATGTTACTGCTGGACTCAGTGGCTGGAGAGGCATCTTACCAGGCCAAAGGCAAAAGGTCTTTGAAGCATGTTGATGGCAGAGGGTTATTTCCAACTCTTCCAAAATGCACACTCCCTATTGGCGAGTCACATCAGATTCTGCAGTGGTAGGCTAAGGGCTGAGAAAAATCTGGTGTGAGGGCAGGGGGTGGGAGGGATGTCAGCTGGCCATAGTGAGAAGTAATAATCCATCCTGAGGTTGGTGCTTCACATACCATACCCACATTTACAGGTGAGAGACTGAACAATAACACTTGAGTTGAAAGGGTGAAGGATTTGGTTTTGGAATGGTTCTTTTGTACGGCTGATGAGAGAAGAATGGGAGTGACACTGAGATGGTGGATGTCCACTGGGAGAATCCACAGATGAAGCCTATCATGCTGCATCTACCCCCTAGGTAGGCTCCAAAACCTTTAACTTGTCAATTGCTAATGATAACCCCTAGCAGAGAAGACTGCATAGAAATGGGGTACGGGGACAAGCCAGAATATGGTTATCAGTAAAAGCTAATGACACGTGGCGCACACTGAATCATGCACCTAGGAGAGTGGCTGCTGGAGAGCTGGAAGCCAGTTGCACCAAGAATGAGAGTTGGGGTCTCCAAGAAAGCTATGTGCCAGGGACTCCCACTTCCAACCAAAGTTGTAGTCATCCTGGGCTTCTTTCCATGAACCTTATCACTTCTCCAATCTTGCTTTAGTTCAGATTTGTGGTCACAATCGTGGACATATTGATTCTGAGTATTGGAATTGAATGTCCTCGTTCTACCTTAGCAAGAGGGAAGGTCAGCCTCCTTGGGTTAGAAGTTGGGGTCAGGAATCTTAAGGTCCCCCAATGTTATTATCAACTTAATCTATCTCCCTGTTATTCTTCAAATAATTTGGCCTTGGGTATCTTGCTTTCTAAAGATGACAGGATAATATCTGGCCACATGCCAGAACAACACTCTGTGTTAACATAAAAACCCAAGGTCTCTGTGTCAGCATAACCCCGAACTTCATGTTTGGTCTCTCAAACCTAGGACAGGGCACACCACAGAAAGCTCTATTGTGTGTGGGTCCTGATGAGGCTTCCTCTTCCAAAATTCTTCCATCACCTTTCTTTTGCACTTAGCTTGCATAGCATTTTCCCCCATGTCAGAGGCTCTACAGAGAAAGAGAGTCTACTCCACAATGGGGTTCCTGCTCAGATTGTCAAGCAGAAAAGAAAAAAAAAAAAGAAAAGAAAGAAAGAAAGAACGAAAAGCCAGAATCCAGAATCATGGGCAATATCTTCCTGGCTGTCAGCTCTTCCCAAGGCTCTACTTGGTCTAGTTAGTTTAGGCCAATTGCCCTTCAGCCACCAGAGTGCCTTTGAGCCTAAGCATAGCAGAAGGAAATACTTCTCAGGGCTGAGGTTGGCTCTGTGAAGAAACACACCATTCCACTTAGGGCCTACGGAATGGCTCTTACACATTAAAGGAAGCTTCTTCTGAGCAGCAGTAACTTCATGAGTCCTCCTCTGACTGCACGTCTGCCCTTGCTCTTTCCACCACCCTTGTTCTGAGTTGCTTTTCACATGTGTCCTCGACTAGATCAGTGCTTAATCAGTGCCTCATCTGGGGATGGCTGCCCCCTCCTCCAACAATGATTGTCTCCATCCAAGGCTTGGGGCCAAGGAGTGGAGGGTAACGTGGAGAGGCCCCATGGCGAATTAGTTTGAAGGATGCTTTTTTCCTTTTGCTTACTTGTAAGGTGGAACAAATCTTGAATCTCCCATCTGAAAACTGAAGAGGGATGGGTAGGGAGTTGGGAATAAGAAGCAAGAAGAAGGAAGAGGCCTAACAGAACCTGCAAACCATCAATGTTAGTAAGAAAAAAAATCGCACACACTAAGACATGTTAACAACCAGATTAAAAGCAGTCCAGTTTCCTCATCGGTGTTCCAGTGACTCCTTTTTTCAGAGGCACAGGCTTCATTAGACAGGGTGACTCCCCACTTATTGCAGTACAGTGTTATTTATCATCCTCACTTAGCAAATGGAAAAGGGAGAAAGAACATCAAAAAAGGAAAAGGGACAGCAAAGTGGTTTTTCAATTCTTCAGAAAAATCTGTTGAATCGTCCTCCTTGTGATCGCAGTGGTTGGTGGTGGTTGCGTTTCATTTTGTTGTCGTTTTTGGCACTGAAGGGTTTGGGATGGGGCTGGGGGAGCCTAAGCCTGCTCCCCAAGGGGTCTCCGTCTGCTCCAGTTACAATCCTGTGGCTCCCAAGGGCATCCCTGAACTGTGGCTCATGCAGGGAATCGACTGCATGGACTTGGGGAAGTCATGACTGACCACCCGGCCATTCTCTCCACTGCCACCGCCGCTGGCTCCTGCCCCGCTGTTCCGGGGGAGGGTCGATGTCCGTATGGCTTCATTGATGGATTGCTGTGGGATCAAACAGAAACCCTTTTCAGGAGGACCGGGGGTTCTTCCCCAGGTCCTTGGCAATGATTGGCAAGGAAAATGAGTCAAGACTAGACTTAAAATGTACCCCCACTTCTCCTCCCCTATTCAACTCCTTTCCTATTCTATAATGCTAGTCTTGACTTCCCATGAACTCACAAAACTGTTGTGTGGCTCTGGACAAGTCTGATCCCCTCTCTGGGCCTCAGGCTTAATGTTTAATGAGGTGTGCTAGGCTGGGTGAGTTCCAAGATCCTTTCTGGTTCTTCCATTCTGTGACTCATAAAGGTGCAATATTTCCTTGGTATTACTGACGATAAATGCAGCAGCACAACCAAGTGGAAAAGCTTCTGGGAATGGGGTTTAGGAGACTGGGGTTCCAGTTCTGGCTCTGACATCAACTAATCATGTGATCCTGTGTACAACTGCTTACTTTTCTAGACCTTTAAATCTCCATGTCTATAAAGTGTGATTATCTATGTTTCTACAGACTTTTATTAGCAAGAATGGTGCTACTGCATGAAAAACAATTTGAAATGTTAAAAGAAATTGAGGGTGAGTTAAAATGAAAAGCTACCTCTTACTTACTTCAGGAAAAATGCTATCCTACCTGTAGCAGCATGTATTAAAGGAATATAGGACTCCTTTGAACAATGAAATAAGCAAAATGTAATTGGACAGGGGTATGTGCTAAAGATAGTATGAAAGCATTCCAAATCAGATCAGTGCTACTAAGCTTGTGATTTCTAGAATGCTGGAATTCTAGATCTAAAAAAGATTCCAAGGATCACTCCAGAATCAGATGAAGTAAGTGAAATTTTCAAGATCACAAACTAGGTCTAGAACCATATCCTCTTAGACAAGAGAAAGGGTTTTGTTCAGAGTTCCTTTGACGAAAAACAAAACAAAACAAAACATTATGACATAAAATCCAAACCCTTATCTCTTCCTCTCTACGTCTAACTTCCCATTAGAAGACAATCAGAATTTTTGAAGTGGGGTTTGGCTTCTTGGTGGGAACCAACATAAAGGAGAATTGTTTATGGGTCAGGAGGTTTCTAAGACCAACCCTACCTATTCTTCAAGGCTTTTTCTGTTCTCATCTCCTTCTTGAAGCTTTCCTAGACTACGCCAGCCTACTGCAGGTGCTGGCCCATTTTACCTGGTACTTGTCCATGATACATTCTCATGTAAAAGTCCTACCTCAGGTATGTAATTTTGTCTTCCTTAAGAGAGATAACTGTTTGGAGGAGGGGAAGGGCCCTGTCTTCTCAATCCTCAGCTTCCCCCAAAGTATCCAGCATGCAGTTAGATGCTTACTAGATACTCTTGAATTTGTCTAAAGAAAGTCAACCATCTAGGATCCTTCTCAAGAAGTCTGTGGCTTTTTCCCTTGCATATTGCTGTGATTCTAGTGACCAGAGAAGTCAGTCAACCTACAGCAGCCAGAGAGAGATAAACAGGGCAGTTTTGACTCAATTTATTTTTCCTACTATCCTTTTATTACTGGAAATTCTGACAATGTTTTGAAATGTTCTTTCTTTTTAAAATCCATGAATCAGGCAGATTTGCCCCGCATGATGTTCCACCCACACTGGTTCTGTCTCCTCCTCCAACCCTGGGACTTGATTTATTTACATCTCCCTTGGCTGTCTTCCACTGAAGAGGAAGTGTGACCTGGATTGCATTCTTCTAAGTCAAAGGCCAAATAAATACCACTGTGATGCTACATGGGGTAAATGTGAAATGAAAACATGAGAAATTAATGGTTACTTATTCTCACCTCAAAAAATGTTGGAAAGAAAATAACATTTCATTTGTATGTGTGGGAAATATGGAACCTTCTATAGATTAGCTTGGAATGCCTATCTTTCATAATTTTTCTCTGCCACAACTCTTTAATTAAAAAAAAAGAAAGTTTAAAGTTCACACAGATCATCTTGGACTTTGTTCCTCAAAAGGCTCACACATTCCCATAACATTCCATTGAAGTTGATGATACCTCATGATTTTATCTTAAAGGACAGGATTAATGGCACAGTCCACACTGGTGCTTACCAAAGTCTGGGATAATTTAGCTGGGCATATAACCAAAAACGTCCAAAGTCACAGCATTAGAAATGGTTTTCAAGGAAGTTGAGGGCTTCTCACAGGTCAGTGACCCCAGATCCCTATCATACTGGCTTCCTTTCTAATACATTTATGGAATCTCAGGAGAAGAGATGAATAAGCAAGAACTTTGGAGTGGAAAGCCATGCTAAAAATCAACTAGATCACTAGTTCTCAAACGGTTACACATTGGATTCCCCTGGGGAGTTGTGGGGAAAAAAGCCCTGATGCCTGAATCCTAGCCCCAGAGATGCTGACTTAATAGGTATAGCATATGGCCTGGACATTTGGAGTTTTAAAAGCTCCCCAGGTGATTCTAAAATGCAACCAAGGTTGAACCACACTGATCTAGTTTATCCCATTCACTTTACAAAGAAACCAATGGCCTACGACTGGTAACAGTTATCTGTGACCTAGTGACAAAGTGGTTGACCTTCTAAATGTGGTTCTTCCTGCCTCTGGTAGCTATAAGCCAATGTCATTTCTCCCCTTGCCTTTTGGAAATGTGGTTCTTACTTGTCCTTCCTTCATATACAGCTGTTCTTAAAGTTCACCCTTATAGATTTTTTTTTCCCCCAAAACGGATACTCAGGGAGAAAAGAGTGAATAAACAGTCAAGCTTCAAAGCCCCCACACTGGCTCTTCAGAGACTTTCTCTTCTCTAGTGATTACACCCTAACCTCTTAGCCACTTGCTTTTCTAAGAAAAGCCCAGCCTCTGCACGTCATTGGGTATCCTAATAAAAGCTCAAACCTCAGTAATGACCTCATTCGGGCACGTGTGCAAAGAACCAGAGTGACCACCTGCTGAGAGGGCTCCCCCTGCATTATCAACTCTCTCAGCTGCTCAGTAATTCCAGGGAAATGTGCAAGCTCTCAATTGCTGTTGCTTACACACACCCTGTGTTAGTACAGCCACATATAATTTTGAAAGGTCAGCGGCTCTCCTGGGGGTAGAAGAGGCTGGGGATTACTTGCTTCTGGGAACAAGGTGTTGAATAATAAAGACTCTGGCTGTCCTTAGTGTTAGCTACAGACTCAGGTTCCAGCCCATTTTCCCAGGAAGAGGAGAGGGGCAGGGGATTTGGAATGTGTCTTAGGTTATATATTTCTGCTACTATATGAGAGTTTAAATTACACTCAAATGTGGTTTGTTGCCTGAAGTCCCTCTCTCAGTCCCCAGCTCTTACATGCTACCCTTTTCCCTCAGTCTTTCTGTGTCCCAGTCTCCCTGGCCTTCTTCCCATTTCTGGGCAAGAGTTCTAGTCTTTGGGTCTCTGACACTGGTGCATTCTTTGCTGCCAACTCTCTCCCCCTGGTTAATTCCTTTCCTGCTTCGAGTCTGTTACACATCACTTTCTCAGGGAAGCTACTCTGAGTGCCCCAAACCAAACCTCCCTCCCCCGCAATATCCCATCAGGACAAGACTCTGCCCTAGACTTGACACTTGACAGCACTGGGCATTTTTCTCCATAACACTCATTGAACATGTAAGTGTTTGCTCACTTTGTGTCTTCCATATCAAACTCTCAGCTTCCTGAGAATAGAAGCTGTGTCTGTTTTGTTCTTGACTGTATTCCCAGTGCCAAGCTCTGCTCAGCATACAGTGGTGCTTAGTATTTCTTTGTGGAAGGGATGCCTATAGGGTGCCTCTCCACTGTCCCTGAGACACGTGCTTGTCCTTCTCATCAACATGTCAAGGGGGAAAGAGACTCAACAACACACAGCAAGGGATTATATACTACCACAGTCAGCCTCAACAACTAGGTCAGGAAAACCAAGGATAGAGCTGCATTTTGTGTTTGTGACTAGCACTGTGACTCAAGGGACACATAGTAGGGGCTCAAAAATTATCTCTTGCCATGTGGTTGGAGCAGGAGAGAGAAATTTAGGAGGAGTGGCTTGGCTAGTACCATGAACCTGCGTTTTATGGAGGCAACATAGGAGGTTTAATTTCTGTTCTGCCAGCTCCTAGCTTGTGTGACCTTGCTAGGACAAGCTACTTAGCTTCTCTGAACCTCTATTTCTTCATCTGTAGGATTGCAGGAAGGATGTGTTCCATGGTTAATGAGAATATATAGAAAGCACTTTGAAAGTTTCTAAAAAACCCCTTTCCTTCTTCCCTTTCTTTTCTCTCTCTTTTCTTCCCTTTTTTCCCCTTTCTGCACCTCTTCCTCTCCTCCTCCTGTCATCCATAAAGACTGGGGAATGGCTCTTTGAACACCGTTGAGATGTAGGAGGCTGGTCCTGGACTAGGTTAGGAGTTCAAGGTCTTAAGAGTTGGCCAAATACTATGACCAATGAAAGAAATGAGAGGGAAGTTTCTCACCAACACCCTTTCCACCATCGATTTGGGTCTGTGTGAGGCTGGGGGCTGCATTTCTGAAAAGAGCTAATTGCTTTTGGAGAAGGCAAAATGTAGAATAATAAAGAGGATTGCAAAGCTAGAAAGTCTGCGAGGCAGGTGGAATGCATTCCACTTATCTCTTTTGGATAAGAGAGGAGTTAAGGGCCATGTAGACTAATAAAGAAAGTATCTTCTCTACGATTGAAAGATTGAAAATTGTATTAGGAGCCTTGGTATGTTGGACAGAAGTCATGCCAGTCAATGGAATTAATTATAGAAGACTGTGGTGGAAGACCTTTAATCTATGATTCCAAGAGACCCTGATGTTGGCTTCTGAGATATTGAACATCTTTGCTGCAAAGGGAAGGGTGAGATTGTCTCCAGGAAGCTATGTCCATGACCCAGTGGCCTCTTCTTAATGATTCTTGTCTTAATCTGAATATTGTGATTTCAGTGGTAAAGGTCAAAACTGTCTCCGTTTTAAGAGGATCACAGTCTTTAGTCATCCTGCTACCACCGCCTGGAATTGGCCATGATTAGTGGGAGTCACTGTAATCCCAGTGGAAAGGCCAGATGTCTGGAAAGTTTCCTGCTTGGTGAATGCCTGTCTCATACTTCAGGAGCACAGACACATGGGGTCAAAACTATCTTGGATGATGTTGTTTGTACCTCCTGCACTGAGAGGTTTTGATGGCAGTATTCACTTAATCTAAGAGTAGCTCCCTCCCATGCCTGGCCTCATATTCCAAGAAATTTTCTCCTCTGGATACAATTCCACATTAATATTACTAATACTTGTCCTAGGTATGTGGAATGTTCAAGAAGAAGTCAGACACAGCTTTTTTACCTTAAGGAACTCATGATCTATATAGCTCAAAAAACCTAGCACAAGTAAGTAGGGGCAATAAAAGGAAAGTTTTAAGGAGAATGTAGTTGGTCACCAATAATAATAACTGTTATCATAAATGCTAGATAGTTATCATTGTTATTAGCTATTGAAAGCTTACTGTGGCCCAGGCATTTTGCCTAGCTCTTTATATCCATTATTTCATATGTTCCCCACAAAAAATTTATGAGGTACATATTACCACTGCCCCATTAGAAAGAAAATGAGGATCACAGAGTTACTAAAACTTGTCCAAGATGACACAGTTAACACATGCGGCAGACATTTATGCCCAGACATTCAGTCTCCAGAGCTTGTTCTCTAGACCAATGCACTGCACTGAGTCCTAAGGGGGGGGGGGGGGAGAAGGTACATATTACCACTGCCCCATTAGAAAGAAAATGAGGATCACAGAGTTACTAAAACTTGTCCAAGATGACACAGTTAACACATGCGGCAGACATTTATGCCCAGACATTCAGTCTCCAGAGCTTGTTCTCTAGACCAATGCACTGCACTGAGTCCTAAGGGGGGGGGGGGAGAAGGATCTCCTGTGAGCTTTACTGGACCTCTAGTTCCATAGGGATGGTTCTGGGAGATTGAAAAGGTTGTAGCTCACCTGGCTCTTGTCTTGTCCCCCTCCTTCCCACTGGAGGAGACTTTCCTCACTTCAGAGGGTAAGATAGGAGGTTCTTTAGGATTATGTTTTGGATGTAATAGGCAAAGAAGGCTTTGTTCTTGTTGTGTTCAGCCAAACCCCTTGGAGGTCTACACTAGGTTGAGGGGCTGAAGCCCATGTCTTTGTAGTGTTTTGCCTCTTTGGAGAGGACCTGGTGGTGGATGAGCTTGTCAAGGGCAGGACTGAAGTGTTCCTAGGTCTCCTGGCCATATGCCATCACACTTCCATCCCTAACTGTTCCTTGTTGTTATGTCTAGGGAAGTCACCTTTTAAATGGGACAGAAGACAGGGTGAGGAATCAGCCTGCATAAAGGCACATGGGTGGGAAGCATGACGTAGGTGGCTGGAGCATGGTATATGTGAGGAGAGCAGATTTCCTGGGAAGTGGGAGAAGGTAGCCTGGCACCATAACATGGAAATGCTGAATGCCAGGACAGGATATCTGAATGCCAGGGCAGAAGGCCCTCCTTACCTACTCCCACCTCCACATATACAAAACTGAATGCAGAGTTTCCAAACAAGGGGAGAAAATGCCTGGAGATGTCTCCTCTGAGGGTGACCCTGGAGGTATGTACAGTTCTGAAGGCCCAAGGTAAGGAGAGGTGGGGCAGGAGGCTATATTTGTGATCCAGGAGTGAGCGTGCTGAGCTTGGGGGCAGTTGTCTGCTGAAAAGTGGGCTTCTTAGGGCACATTCTAGGAAAGCAAATACTACCAATGGATCTTGCTAGTGTAGTCAAGCCAAAGTGACAGCCTAGACCAACATACCACCCCTGGCACGATGCCCAGAGTGACTGTACTTCTCTCCCCTTTTTGGTCTGAACCTGCTTGTCTTTCTTAATTTCTGCCTGTCTCCAGAAGCCTTCACCAATTTCTCCCTCCTCTAAATTCCTATACGCCATTGTATTTATACCGTAGGTTGCCTCATTGAGTTATTTTTCAATGCCCATTCTTTGTTGAAATTCAAGGGTGCTGAAAGTCACAGATTGCACCGGAGTGGTCTCTGCCTCTTCATGATGCCTTGCTTAGGGTGGTGTTCACATGACTCACTCACGAATATTTTCTTTTTTTTTTTTTTTGTCTTTTTTCGTGTCCGGCAACGGATCGCAACCCTCAGTGTCACACCCGTACCAGACCGGGACCGGCGACGGGATCGCAAACCTCGGTGCTGCGCCCGCACCTCGCTCAGCCAGTGAGCGGGAACCGGTCTGTATGTGGGATCCGAACCCTCGGCGGGAGCGCCGCCATGCTCCCAAGTGGCGCACTGTAGCAGTGCACCACTGGGCCGGCCCTCACGAATATTTTCTCACTGAAGCTAAGTGATACAACATGAGGGCCTTGAAGGTCAGTTAATTCTAACTCTCTTTGGATGCGTGAATCCATATCCTTGCCATGCTCTGCTTGTAACCTTCACTGATGGGGAGGCTGCTACTTACTGGGGCAGTCCATCCCATCTTTGGGTGACTCTGTTAGAAAGGTAGATTTCACATATTGTATTAACATCTATCCCCTATCACTTTTAGTCATTCATTCTCATTATACCCTTTGGGAAGTGTACAGTCTATTTTCCTTCCCACATGGAAAGTTTTCATATTTTTTACAGACAGCTCTTAAATCCTCCATAATTCTTCTCTTCTCCAGTTGCCTTCAGCTATATTTGATGTAGTTTGGGGTCATCTAACTAATCTGCTTACCTTTTTCTGTGCCAGAAAAAGTCTCTTTGCCAATGTCTATCTCACAGTGTAGAGGCTACAATAAGAGTCACTTCGCCAAGAGTAACACGATCAGCACAGAGCAGAGGGTAAGCACACTTCCCTTACTTTGGGAGCTACATTCCATTGATGCAACTTCAGAGAAAACTGGCCTTTGTAGCGATCACTCCTGCCTCTTGCTGTGCTGACTGTCCACCCAAACCCCTAACCTTTAATCTGACCGACCCTTCTCTGGCTGATGCAGTTGTTTTCTTGAGCCTTACATTTGCCCTGACACACCCCACCTTCCTTCCTTTCTCATGGCTGCCTCTGTCCCTGTCACCTTCCTCCTAACAGCTTTCTGATTCCGTACCTGGGCTGACCGCAAGCACTTATCACTCCCCACCCTTTCTAGCAAAGGGACTCCCAGGACAACCAGCTGTATCACAGAACAGATTAGGAAAAAGGCCTGGGAGGATGATGCCACCTTCATCCGCTTGGATTCGCTACGAGATTTGTAGCAGAACTCGATTAAGGCAACCAGCATGGCTAGTCCAAGTCCTCCAATCAGGATGTAGAACACGCCTGCCACATTGCTGAGGCTCAAAGCACTTGTCTTGTCCTAAGAAGAGGAGGAGGCAAAGGAGGGGGAGGGGGAAAGAATAAAGTGAGTCAAGAGGCTGAAGACCATCTAAGCAACAGCATATTTACACGCATACACTCAACCCCACACCCTCTTTAACATTCTTAATAGCTGGAAAGGCTTTTTATTCATTGACCAAGTGTTAAACATCCCCAGGAAAAAAAAGTGTATGTGTATATATAGATATAACAATTTTCCAAGCATCCTGGTCATGTTGAATTTGTAACTACATCTCAGCCCTCCTCAATGCCTTTTCTAGGGCGGCAAATGCCGTAAGAAATTCAGGGCAGCTTCTACCAAGATCTGCAGCCTTGAGCTCATCTCATTCTTTCATAAAAGCATGTCCCTTCCTTTCAGCCCCCATCTCTTCTGTTGCTCAGCAATGCATTGGCCTCACTTACTGTTTATATTTCTGAGCATTTTTCTTAAAATGGTACTTAACATGAACTTTCCCCTAGATGTGCATTTGATTCCAATTTAATAAGACAGTTATTGTACATATAATAAATACCAACTGATGTATACCTTTCATTTGTTGCTCTGAGTCCCAATTTAGGGAGAAAAAACTGGGTGACTTGGAATAGCACTGAGACAGAAAAATGGCTCTGTTAAATCCTACTAATTATGCGTAATTCATGTCATTTTTCTGTTGGAGGTGCTTGCTAAAAACACCATAGGCAGACCCATGTAGCTAAATTTAGAAATCTCTGTTGCCTGTGGTAAAGGATCTTACACTGGCTTTAGATGAGCAGGGTCACAGAGCAGGGTGCTTAATTCCTGACAGCCTGGAGACAAGTGCTCATGTCCAATAGGAAGTGGACAGAGCTCACCCTGTGGAGCCTTAAGAGGCCATTGGTCTGCTGAGATCATCCCTGAGTTCTGTCACTTCCAGTATGGTTTGAAAGTGGGGGACTGAGGGATGATACCTTCCCAAGTGGTGAGAACAACCTAACAAAACTGGTGGTTGTGGTGGGAGGTAATGGCTCAGGAAGAGGGGCACTGCTCAGTTAAATTCCTGACATAGGCAAAGTAACATCTTTGAATCTTGGAAGAATACTTATCCCCAGATGTCATGGTGGCTCTAACACCTTTGTTTAGATTGTTTGTTCAGGTACAACAAGTGTCTCATTGAATTAAAATGAAATGCACGCCTCAACTGGCACAGGTAAACACCTTCGTTGACTGGTTGGTGCCACTGAATAGGATATGGCTTTTACACCATGTGTTCCTTTTCAGGTGGGGATGTAGCTGAGCCACACAAGGGGTAAACTGTGTTACCCTAGGGACTCCTCTGACATTGGCCTATTAGAATCTGGGCATGTGGAAAGGAATCTTCTATTGATCAAGTCAGTGGCCTCAGCCCTTCTACTTGGTACATTGTACAGGATTCAGCAGGACTGAGCTTGGGGACTACAGCTGACAGATAGCAGCATGCTTCCCCTCCCTAGAAGCAGCCTCGGCCAGCAGAGCTGTAGGATTATCTAAAGCACAACCCCTTGGTGGCTTCCTGTATTGCTAAAGCAGATGGCTCTTGAATATAGGTTACACTTGGCAAGGCATAGCCTGGCTTTGTAAGCAGTGGAAATGATTATTCAAAGGATTCAAAGAGGCAAAATTTCTTCTGCTCTAGTATAATGGCCTGATAAGAGAAATGTACAAAAATGAGTTTGGTGTTTGGTTTAAGAGTTGGCTGAGAAAATAAATTCCCACTTCACATGATTTTCAGAGCACTAAAAATGTTGCCCTATTTGTTGTTCAGGAAGTATGTAATTCTTCTGGAGAGTAACTCTTTAGAGTGCTTGGAGGGCTTATGGTTAACAGAAGTTCCTATAAAACTTTTCTGTTAGACAGGGGTAGGAGTTCGGAGGGAAGGCATCTTAATGTATTATCAGCTCACACCTTAGCCAAGAGTGGTTGACAGTGATGCTCAGAGAGAGTGGATGGGGAACAGGCCTCAGGGAAGGTGGTAGACAAGAAGGCTGGAGGCTGCTGACTTCACAAGCTGAGCAGCTTTTCAACAGCTGAAGTATGCACACCTTGCCCCCCTGGTCACCAAAGCTGTTTTCTTCTTCATGGTCTTTCCCAAGTTCACCTCGGTTGTGAATAGCCTTCAAAGATAAGGGAGTGGTGGGCATCTTTTTTTGTTACTATCTTCCAAAGAGCCTAAGATGGTATCTGCCTCCCTGGCTGTAAGAAGGCGGAGTGTTCATTTCTGGTATATCTGCGAAGGAAGTAGCGTCAGGTCTTCATAACACAAGTGGGTGGAAAGGGTATGTTCTGTATAACCGTAGAAGAAGGGTCCAATGACTGAACATCTGATTATGTCTGGAGGCAGAGAGGGTCCGTCACTTCTGAAGGAGGTCTCTGGCCCAGGGAGATGGCAGCATGTGGGAACATATCCCATGCAGATAAAAAAGGCAGCTTGATGGTATGAGAACTGCCACCTCTTGCAGGACACACATCACTGATCCTTATTTATGGCAACACAATTCTGTAGTAGCAGGGATCAGGGAAGACCTCTGGAATCAAACGAGAGCCTGGGTCCTAACATCACCAATATCAGACGTAACATACTGCCTCAATTTGGCATCACTTAATAGGGTGTGGGATGAAGGGCTGGTGTTGGTGTAGTCTTAGTCCAGATAGTTGAGTTTACATTTAGACAAGGTTTTGCGATTCCCCTGATGTGTGCCATTAGCTTTTTGATAACACCAAATTTAGGTCTTTCTAAGGAGGCCTGAGGCCACAGGCTCTGTTTAGTTGTCATTACTGACTCTCTTCGACTCACGCTCTGTTGGATTACAGTGGGGCATCCTGGAGCAAGGACAAAAATCCCTTTTATTTGAGGACCAAAGCTGTGATTTCTCCTCTGGCCCACAGTGTCTATATGGGAGGGGGCTTCCTCATGGACTTGTGTACAAACAGCTGTGTTCACACTTCACAGGTGAGCCACAAGCTTCCCAGCTATGGCTAGGGAAAAGCGGGAGATGGAGTTTGAGCCTTCTGAACACTCCTCTGGGGGACCCCATTCCCCTCCCATTCCATAGCAGCTGCACTCCCCAAAAGCCGGGCAGCTTGTTGGTGGGAGTGCAAAAGTCACAATGTGTCTCATGTCTCCCGCCAGCAGCGAGGAAAGAGAGTGGCAATACGGAGAAAAGTGACAGGTGAAAAGAAAAATGAAAATCCTATCTTTCAGACTTGTTGGGTTTGTTGCTATGGTGATGAGACCCCCCTTCATCTGTTCTCCATAACCTGTTTTCTTGATTTGCCACCTCCCTCATGTAGAAGGGAGATTTTTTTGTTTTGTTTTTCATATTTCTCCTTGTTCTTCCCACATATTGGAGGACTGTCCCAAACTCCCTTTGTGTTTTTGAGCCCTTCCAAGAACGTGGGTCTAGCTCAAGTCTTTATGACATTTGAGCCAGGCCTGAGGCAGAAAGCCTTGAAGCTTTCTTTAGGGCATACGTAGGAAGTTCTAGGGAGAAACCAGGACTTTGGCCATAAGATCAGTCCCTCCCACTGAGACTGGAGCTGCCCATCATCCAACGTCTGCTAAATCTGGACCAAACTTCGGTTTCTCCAAATGCTTCCATTCCTTCTTCTCTTCCTGGTGAATGTGAGCTCCTACAAAACAAAGGGTGTGGCTTTTGCTCCTCTCCACATTCTACCGGAATTCCACACATTTTCTGATATGTGTACAACTGGATGTTTAGGAACTTG